ATTTAATAAGCGTAAAAGCTTGGGTCTCAAATTGTGAAACTTATTTTGATTCATCAACCAAAATTCCAAACTGTCACTAGACAATAAGCTGCTTATATACAAAACTGTACTAAAACCTATATGGAGCCCAATTATGTGGTACTGCAGCAGACTCAAACTTGGCAATTATGGGGTACTGCAGCAGACTCAAACTTGGCAATTATCCAGCGTTTTCAATCTAAAACACTACGAATGATCACAAATGCACCTTGATGTTCCGACAATTAAGGAAGAAATATCTCGAATTACAAAGAATTATGCTCATCGCATATATATGCATCCGAACTCGCTGGTTACACACCTGATGTCCCCCTCCAACACTTTTACAAGGCTAAAAAGAAACACATCGAGAGACGTTTTAGATATGTATATGTAGGTCACACACTTCTATTTTAATTATATATGGATATGTCACTGGACATAGTCCATACGTGCCTTTCTTTTTTAGATCGTAATAACTATTATTACGATTCATGTTAATATATATTACTTTTTGGAATTCATACCTGACAGATTGTAATAAAATAAATGGATTATAAAAAAAAAAAGTAGAAATAAAAGCTTTAAATTTAAGTAGAAACTTAGTAGTAGATAAAAGATTCTCAAAAATGTTCGACCTCTCACATGATCTCTATTACAAAGCTACATAGACGTCTTCACCAGATATTGCTAAGATTTGTGTGTGGCTTATGGTAAGTTAAATACAATTGTTTGAAAAAACACGAATAAAATACTTTTACTCAATGGTGTCTATTATCATTTGGGTGATTCACTAAAACAAGTGTTCCAGATAATTAGTTACTTATATGATTTACAGGAGTGTAGTTTGAGGCCCAACATATCCTTCCGATGAAATATATATTGCATTTGGTTAAAGAAATGGGAATTCTGAATAAGTGTAAGCGCATCCACAGGATAAAGCTCTATCTTTGATGTATTTTTACGCACTCTTAATTCTCAATTATAATTTAATCCAAATACCAACTCGTTTAGTTGCTTACGAGATAATCAAATATGCTATAGTTTTCTGATCTAAAATAGAACCATTATAAGTTATACAACAATTATCTTAGAGTATTTCGATAGATGACACTTTACTTAGGACTCACTGAAAATCTTAAGTAAACTTATAAAAATAGATAGCTTCACATTTCTATATCCATGATTGGTAAAGCACTGCTATTTCAACAAATTATTGAATAAAGGTTTTCTCCATGTTTTCAATATACAATTTCTGTTTAAAATATTTTTACAAATAAATGAAATATTTAAATTTTTAATGTACATGAAATTTCTTTTAAGTCAAACCACAACTAAAAACAATTTCCTTTTAAATTGTTAAAACAATTTCAAGTGTGTTGTGGTTGACTTACGAAACCTGAACTAAAAATTTTCAAAATATTCCTTAAAAAACTTCTTTACTACATAAAATTGACTCGTCATATAGCAAGAAAGGCGGCTGGCCCACTTGGGTCTATTCCGTAACATGCTAATTCAATCCAATATTACATTTATAGTTTGCAGCAATAGGAGGTATAGAATAAGAAATTAAATTTTATGAATTTGTACATTTCCATTTGCTGCTTGCACTTTTTACTGCCAATTTTTATATGCCATAGAAGTTAAACTCAGCAAATAGCACTGGCAATTTGCCTTTTGGCAGCACTACGAGTAACAAAATTACCAAAAAAAAGGGAAAAAAAATTAAGCAAACATAAAATTTGAATTGCATTTCCTTTAGGTTAACACTTAACTTATATTCTCTTATATAGACAAACATTTATATATATATATACATTTATATTTGCAAATCAGTCGACTGTGCAGATTAGACTGCAAAAAGGCGTCACTAGTAAATGGAACTCTAAGTCACAGTATTGTTTATCATAAAATAGACAAGCCCCTACAATACCTCAAACATTTTGCTGGCAACATAATTTAAATTTAAAATGAAATTAACGCCTGTAATGTGGCAAAAAAAAAGGAATACAATAAACGACCGAATGCAATTTTTATTTTGCTCCTTACTTTGCACTTATTAAAAAATAGTTTTCCTGTGTTTCAGCACAATGCACGGCTCAAACACTATACTGCACTGCAAATTCCTGCAATATTTATCTAACTTCGGAACGAGAATTGCAGAGTAGTCCACATAGTTTCGTTTGTCTGTGTGATGACTTGGAAAATGGTATGGTCTGACTTGACGTTTCTTTATGGTTTTCTGCTTTTATATAGACTCTGTACGTGTATGGTGTGTGCATGCACTCATTCCAACAAATTATAAAAAAGTATTATTTTAATTTAAAATTGTACATTTTAGGGTTTATCATGTTGTTAAAGAAACCACTGCAAAGCGTCAAATAAATTATTTAAATCTTTCATTTACTCATAGGCACGTTAAGGTTTGCATCACTACGAATGCATACAAACAAAAATTGTTGCATACTTTTTTGGGTCTCTGTTAAGTTAAAAGAAGTGGTATTGTTACGTGACATTCTGAGGCTACGAGAATGAAAAGCCTTTTTTTTGCAAATGTATGAGTTTATTTAAGAGATTTTACCATGATAGTTGAGAGTGAAGTAAGTTTTAAGTGATTAACCTCACTCACTCAGTGAGGTTCAGTGTATGACAGGTTACAGTCATATCAAGCATTACGGTAAACAGAGGGGGAAAATATGTTTAGCATTCCTCATTTGACAAATGTGTGACTTTAATAAATTGCTATTTCGAATATTAGCAAGTTCTTCTTTCTATAAATGAATGTTTTAAAATGCAATATTCAACTATACTAAACTCGATTACACAAACAATAGCAATTGACATAATCCTTTGGGATAAATGAGTTGAACTTTACTTATCACTTGCTTATTACTTGAACTCAACTTTTCAAAGACGAATTTGAACTTTGGAGGTTATAAAAATCGTTTATAATTTATATATTAATTTATATTAATTAAATATATTATATACTAACAACAAAAATTTCTTTTATATTATTTTAATTAAATGAATTTTTGGCTGACCATACAGCTGTGTTGAGTATTGCGAAATACCCATCATTAGTGGTCTTGGAATTATTTCTTATGTTTAATTAATCGCAATCTCTCTTCTTTTTGTGATTTCAAGTACTAAATGTTAAACTTCTGACCTGTCAAATTTGAGTTCTAATGTTCATCAGCCAACTGACCAAAAACCACACTCGACTTATATGTTTGAACTTGGAGTATTTTTGTTAATTTTCTGTGAAAGTTCAATAACAAATTCACTTGCTGTGTTATATTAGAACGAAATCATAAACCAGCTGTAGAATAATTGAAAAAATTAATTATATTTTTATTTTTAATTGCTAAATTTCAATACTATTTTTTTGTAGGGGCATCATTTATTGCATTTTATATATTTTTTAAGTTAATTATATTACATTAGGTTAATTAAATTGCAACTAGAAATAATTTAGATAGTTCAGCTATCTTATAAAACTAATTTGTTTCCAAAAAAAACTTGTAGAACTTGTATTATAGAAAACCCAAAATCGAAGACCACCAATATTGTTCAACTTTTGCGCTTTCAAGGTTAACGTTAACGATCATTTTTAAAAAATTGGATGTATCTGTTGTAGGATAGTCAATAACACTATGTGACAAAAATTAAATCTTTTTTTCTTCTTCAATGGTTCTAAGTCAACTTGGGTCTGCTTAGCTTAAATTTGCAAATTACTTTTCTCCTAGACAACTGGGTTCCTGCCATTATATGTTAAAATTCAAAAATAGAAGATTTAAAGGATTAATAAGAAATTCTTATTTGACAGAAAAAAGAAATTACATAAAAAAAGAGATCTCTATCTATTTTATTTGTCGAAAATGGAAGGAAGACAAGCAAATCATACCTCTTCATAAGCTACAGTAATATATAAATTATTATGGTTTTCTTAACGAAAACTGGCAGAATTTCAACTGAAATACTTTTAAGATTATTGGAAGATATAAACAAAACTAATTGTTTTTTCCAATAGGTACGTATGTAGCCGAAACATGGCACTATCAAGAAATAGGATACGCAGAAGATCGAAGATTTCGTATTTTGAATATATGAAATAGTTTTAAAAATTCTGCTGACTGTTTACTCTATTTTAATATATAAATGTAAAAACCAGAGTTATAAAAATCATCTTGTAAGCACATGTGACTTACTTCATAACAAATATGAACATTAAAGCTACTAATTGTATAGAGCAAAATTCGCAAAAGTAAAATTTTCACAAAGAAAATTGGCTATTGATAGGTTAATCACGATTTTGATCTGCCTTTTATCAAGCAAAGATTGAAGAAGAAATGTGATATACACAAGACAAAAATGAAAAATAACACTCTACTTCGCTTTCTGAGAGAAAGGCATATGAGATCCAGAGATAAAGGCGAAGACCTTTACTGATAGTACATTCAAAACCTCCATATATTTTATTTTACAATCTCTATGTTACATATAATATAAAAAATAATTAATAAATACATAAATGACAAGTAATAAATACAAATGAATAAATAAATAATAAATAAAAAAAATAAGTATGGCAAATAAATAATAAATAAATAATTAATAAATAAAGAAATGATAAATAAATAAAAAATAAATAAAAATTATAAGAAATTCCACAATTAGAGTAGCAGCTTTGAGGAAGAAAAAAAAAACATATCACTATCGTAACCATGTTCACTACTGCATTCCTCATTTACTATATGATAATAATATCATATTTTAATGAAATATAAAACTTCTTTCCTTTAGCAAATTTTTAAGATATAAAGAGAGATATTTCTCTCTAATAGATAAATATAGTTTTTTAAATCTATTTATTAAGGTAGTAATTGATTAAATTACTCTTACCATATACCATATATAGAAAATTATTTTTTTTAAAAATCTTCAACTTAATTACAATATTTTTCTTAATTTATTTACAGATCGGTGAAACCAGTCAACAGAAAAATAGTGCATGTTTGCGAAAAGATCTTGATGAAAAATGTTTAGGTTTGTGTTTATTTGTTTTTTTATTTGCACAATACTTTGAATAGTGATTATAAAAAAAATTTCAACAAAAGCAATAGATAGATAGATTTTGGCAAAAACCTAACAGATGATTTTTTTAATTAATTATTTAATTACATATTAATATGTAATAATTTTTTTTTTTTTTGTAAACACAAGATAAAAATTATTTTGTATAAATTTTGCCATAAGTTCTTTGCATTATAGATCAAGTCCAAATTAGTCTAAAAAATAAATTCTAAAATTAAATATATTAAGCATTAGCTGAAATCTCTGCAAATTTTTCGATTTTAGACGATATTTTATTAAACGAAAAAAAATGGTTGTTGATAATTTATAGTAAAACAAAAAAGAAAAACTTAAAATATAAAAAAAAGTTTTAAAAAATTAAATGCAGCACTTGAAAAAAAGGACTTTATAAATAAAATTTTCAAAATTATACATTCAATATATTAACTATTCTATTTAAATTTTTTTTCATTTATTTTTTTTTTGTTAAGTGCCAAAAACTAAAAAGTGCAATGTATTTTAATAAAGCAAAAAGTGTTGTCATATAAACAAAATAGTAGTTAAACGTTGAGTACTTTTTTGAATGATAAATCTAACAATTACGGGAGGAAAAAACGGAATTAGTTGAATTAATAAGATAAGAACTGGACGTTTATATAAGATAAGCCTAACAATCTATCTTTCTTATCTCTCTTGTAGGAGAATTAAATTTAATTCATAGCTGAACGGATATCTTGTAACAACATTAACACGTAAAAAGTACTTCTTATAAAAACAAAATCTGGCATGTTCGGAACGATAATTTTTTTAATTCTTATAATATACTTATGGTACAATACAGTTTTGTTAGCGAAATAATTAAAATTTAATGCAATTATTGAAATTTTTTTTCTCATAAACCTTGAGAACATAGATATCTACAGTTTTGTTAGCGAAATAATTGAAATTTAATGCAATTATTGAAATTTTTTTTCTCATAAACCCTGAGAACATAGATATCTAAATTCAAAACAGTACAAGTTTTTGGTTAAAAAATTGATTTTTTTCTACTTAAAAATGATTAATCTTCAACCAGAATTCGAGGGAAAAATTTTTGACACAGTTTCTTTAAGTTGTGTTAATTAATTTGATATCTAGATTTCAATTGTTATTATAAAAAATATGATTAATCAAAATTTTAAATACACTCTCAGTTGACATATGTGAAAAAAAGCTCCTGAAGAAAAAAGATTTTTAAAATTGTGAACAAATATTATTGTTATTTTAGACATCTACATGATTCAATTATCTCTCCCCTTAGTACAAAAAATAAGTTTATGTGGCAGCTATATTAGAATATAAGATATTTATCATTTTATTTATCTACAATATCGGTTATTAACTAAATATCGGTACAGAACTTTCTTCATTGTTTACACCCCAGTTATAGTTAAATTTATTCATAAGCAATTAAGAAAACTTAGTTCAGATCCTTCAGTTAATAGTTAACAGCAACTATGGGACATTATTAACAAAAGTCAAGAATTATTTCCAAGTACTTATTTCAAAAGTACTCGGATTTTGTAAATAAAACACACAAATTTAAATTTTATTCCAAATTTATTTTATATCCTTCAAAATATGCTCCTTCTGAAGCGATACACATATGCCAACGCTTAACCCAATCTTTCATACACTTTTCGTATGGCCGTAAAGGTATGGCTTTTAGTTCCTTCAGCGAATTCTCTTTTACCGATTCAATCGACTCAAAACGCTTACCACGAAGGGGCAATTTGAGTTTTGAAAACATGAAAAATTCGCACGGATCCAGATCTGGCGCATATAGTGCCTGAGCGATGACAGTGGTCCCGTGTTTGGTCAAAAAATCGCGTACAACAAGAATTTTCCATAATAAAAATCGCTAAATGCTCTTGAGGTAGTCTCACATTAACAGCTGCTGTAAACAAACTAATAAACAGATGGCGTACCATACGTCAAGAAAGGGTGTACCAACATAACAAAAAAAAATTCTTTAAAAAAGGTCTATTACTAAAGGAGTAGTTAACAAACAACAAAATCCGGATACTTTTTGAGCAGAAGGTAACTGCAAAGCTTCGCAAGCAAACAAAAAGAAGGATATGAGAAAATCACATATTTTAAAGAGAATATAAACCATATTTATGCACGATGAAGTTTTAAAGAAAGAGAGAGAAAAGAAAGAGAGAGAGAGAAAGAGAAAAAGAGAAAGGAAAGAGAAGAGAGAGGTTTTTTTTATGGTGTTACAAGATTATCTTAATAACCCTAATATGCCATTATAAGAAAAAAGTGCAGAACAATTTTTACTTTTTTGTGAAACTGACAACTCTTTTTCATTTGCTAATAATTTGCTAAATAAAAATTACATAATTTTAATTTAAATAAAATTTACTGGTATAACACGTTAAAATTGACTTCAAGTTAAACTTCTCATGAGTGCAGAAAAGTTTATTTAATATTAATATTTATTTAATAAATAAATTCAAATTTAAAATCACTAAATATATTGCACAAAATATTATACTTGCGCTCAAATTTACTATTATTTATTTAATTTCTAATTATAAGTGCCAAATTTAAAATATTTCACTTTAAAGTTGGGTATATAATTTAAAAAAATTTTTATATGCATTTAAGTTAAAAAATTTTGAAAAAAAATACTCTAGAGCATTTGCATATTAATATAAAAAAAGAAACAAATATATATATAATAGAAATTTTTAAATTGAGGAAATGAAAATATAATGCAGAACATATAAAATTAAATTAAGAATCGAGGAAATTAATTTTTTGCAGTTTTAGTCATAAATAAAGACTGTATAAAAAAAAATTATTAACAAAAACAAATTAAATTAGCGTTAAGAATTAACTTCACAATTTATTGAACAAAATAAATAAAAACTAATGCTAAAACTAAATCTTTTGAAGTGAAAAAATTAACGTATATAATTAATGCCAGAACTTTTGTAATGTAACTATAAAAAAAACCATTAGTATATACACTCCTATATATGTAAATAGCTAGGGCTACTAAAATTTATGGTTAGGGTTTAAACTGATTAAATAATAAAATAAATGGTATATAGTAAATATGGTACTAATAGTAATTTTCAATACATTTCAATATAGATTACAAAACACAAAGTATAAAATAATATTACTAAAAGTAATATTTTTTATTAAAAATTTTATAAAAATATTACACAGTAACCAAAATTTGAAATATTTTTAATAAATAATCATAATCACTATAAAAACTATAAAATAAATAAATAGTATAATGGAATATGATCAAATGAAATAAATTAAAATTAAACAAACTGAATGGAAAAAATAAATTTAATTTGAATAATAAAATAAAAAATGTAATATAATTTTAAAAAAAAAACTTAATATCGTATAAACTTTTATTTAAAAATAAAATAAAAATATAAAAATATTATGTAAACGCAATATAAAAAATAATTAAACGAATAATAAATAAATCATATGAAATAATATTAAAAATACCATACTGAGATAACAACTACTAATTCTTATTGTATATTAAAATATGTATAAAAATAATAATATAACCTACATATAATGTATATCATAGAAAATATAATTCTAATAAATAATAATTTAAAAAAAATCTAAATAAACCAAAAAATTAAAAATAAATAATAACAGTTATTATTGTTTAAAATGATATTATGTGAGCTTGTATAATAAATTATGTTGGCCATGTGTGAGTTCGAGTAAATTGAGGTAAAATTGAGTGAATTGAAATTTCCTAGGAATTTTTTGCACTGTACTTATTTACACTTATTTCTTATTTTTTTTGTTAAAAATTTTCAAATTTATGTATTTATTTATTAGACATCTTATAATATCTAATTTATCTTACTCGAAATTCTGGTAAATACCAACATTCGCTGTCATACCGACATAATTTACTATTTCCCTCAATTTACTATCAATTTAATCGATCTCGCACACGGCCGTAATATAAAAAAGTAATATAATTATATCTAAAGCAAAATCAAATATAAAATTAATAATATCTATCATTAAGAGCCAATTTCACCAACCAAAGTTAAGTATGAATTATTATTTTTTATGGATTTTTATTTTAATCCAAATTTTAGCAAAATTAGGCATATAATTATGCTATATGCAACTCTGTGGTGTTGCATTGGAAATAATGTGAAGAAGAATTATTAAGCAGTCTCATATTATTAGATAATATTATTTCCCTTGTTAAATATCGCAATGAGTTCAAAAAACTACGAAAAATTTAATAATGTGCTTACCACTTAAGATCAATCATTAAAATCATGAAGCAAACTACGATTAACGGAAAACAAAAAATTTATTTATTAGAATTAATGAAACGATTAAAAATTTTAATACGAAATTAATTAGCGATCTATATTGAACGTTATATGTGGTTGGTAAGGTTGGTTGTAAGATCAGGAAAAAAAATACTCATTTAATTTGAAATAAAAAGCTTTCAAAAATTTTAAGTTAATAATATTAATACGAGTAATATTGTTACTCTATATATTATTATACTTAATTAGATTGTAATATTTTGAATAAAAAAATTGAATAAAAATTACCCTGCATAATTATAACAATAAAAAGAAATATTAAAATAATAATAACAAATTAGTGTAACATTAAATAATTAAACAATAATAATAATCATAATAAATAAACTAAAAAACAGTTTATAATATTATGGATATTATTAAGGTTATATTATTAATAATAAAAAATCATATTATAAAATTAATAATCGCCAAAAGATTCGGGGGCAGGTAAAATATTATAAACAGTAATAATAAAATATTTAATATTTAATAATATTAGTATATAATAATAACACGTTTATGGCCATCGTTGCTATAACTTTAATATATTAAAACTTTAATATATTTGTCTATACTATAGTTTATTGTTCTAAGTTTGTT